AAAAAATGGAATTTTGGTCTGTAGCACCTACACCAAACACCCTGTATATTTAAAAATTATATCAAAATATAGCTCTCATGAACTCCTAAAACTTTTGTATGAAACATTTTTGTGTATCTCCTTCATCAAACCAGGGTGTCCCACATTTTATGTGTCCTACATAAAATGTGGGACACCCGGTATATTATTTCAACAAGATACTAATAGGTATTGGTCCACCATCGTTATTCATAATATTGTTATGTTTACTTATTTCTATACTCTTATATGCATCTAGATGCCTGTTGTTATTAACTTGTCTAACTAATCTTAATTAATCATTAACCAGGATGATATTTTGAGGGATCTGGTGGAGACTGACCCATCACAAAGGGTGAGTGGGATGCTTGAAGAACTGGGCCTCAGCTTCCATGCGGTTTCTGATGGTTCAAACCGTATTGGAAATATCGAAAAGCTCGAAAAGTGGGTGCCCCACGGTTTGAACGATCAACAGAAATTGTCACGTTTTGAGGTCTGTCGTTCTTTCCTTTTCCGCAACCAAAACAATTCTTATTTGGATTGGATGGAAGGAGGTGAGAATTAGGAATCGATAAATTTTCAAATTCATACTTCATTAAACAATTCCTTTCACTTTAGGTTGCTTTAATTTTTGGCATAGCGAGAGCATACAGAAGTGGTGAATTATACCGAATGGAAAAAAATCAAATTGAAGATATGGGGAAAAATTATTTATTTCTCATGAAGACGAAATTACTCTAATTTATTTTATTTGGCATAGCGAGAGCATATAGATATGGTGAATTATACTAAATGGAAAGAGATGAAATTGAAGATATGGGGAAAAATTATTTATTTCTCACGAAGACGAAAAATAACTCTCATTTACTGTATTTGGCACAGCGAGAGCATACAGAATTGGTGAATTACACCGAATGGAAAAAAAACAATTTTAAAAATTTGGAAAAAATCATTTATTACTCGCGAAGACGAAAAAATTACTCTCATTTACTGTATTTGGCATAGCGAGAGCATACAGAAGTGGTGAATTATACCGAAGACGAAAAATTACTCTCATTTACTGTAGTGGAACATATGAATTTCTACAGCAACTATGAATAGTTGGACCCCTGTGTTACCTGATTCTCGTTTGGAATAGTCCATAACGCCATTTTTTTTGCCAAACTATTCAAAAGTGTAAATTATGATTTTCAAAAGCAAAATTATTTTTCAATTAATTAATTAAACAATGGATTTTATACAATTAAAAATCAAAATTAACAAAAACATTTTTTAATCATAATTATCTCTAGACAACAAAATAGCAAAAAATTNTAAGACCTCGTTAATCCTTAGCTCGCACAAGTTTCGACTTCTGAGGGTTGTCGTTCGTAGGGGTGCGACAGCTGGTTAACGGAAAAACAGATTTTAAACAGATAATAAAGTCTTACTAGCCTCATTGGCTGCATCCATAACATTCGGCGGGGTACTTCGTATATCTGAATGATCAGAATCCATTATAATATAATATTAATAATGAACTCTCAACAATGAGCTCAACAATAATGATCAAGCTATTTTGACAGTTTATTTATGATTCATTGCTGCTCTTAAACAAAAGATGCACTAAGGCCGCCTATCAGCGAAATATTCATGTATTCTTACAATGTATTTCTTATGAGTATATTTCACGCACTGGTAATAAAAACACTTGAATGTACCATGTTATTCTTATGGGTTTATTTCACGCCCTAGGGCGTAAAAATAATTTCACGCACAATGGCGTGAATTTACATTTTACGATTCGTGAACGGTGTGTGAAAGTACTATTTCACGTACGGGAGTAGAAAAACAATGTTATTCAATAGAGTCTTACTCTATTCGAGAGCCAGCTACGAAGTTCCATCCTCCTCTCAGGATCACCTGGATGTAATTTTTGTGAAATATGTATCTTAAACATGCTCTGCTACTCCTGATTTACTGGTTTCTTCTCGCTGTGTGTGTTTCTTGTGCTTGGCAATGCGAACTTTGAATGGCCTCTTAGTTTCACAGATGTATGATTATCCGCACTCGCAGGGTATTCGGTAAATGCAGTTCTTGGAATCGCAGTCCGCGTTTGGTGGCCTCCTGGTTTTCGTGAGGCTGCTACGGATAGTGTTCCCAGATCTGAAACAGGTTCTGATATTATACTTGGACCCAATTCTTCTTATCTTTTCTGACAATCCTCTGATATAGGGAAGTACAAGTACTGGTTGTGGCGGCTTCTCTTTCTTGTGAGGCTCTTGCTGTATTCTAGCCAAAGTCACTTTGGAGTAACCATTCCATTAAATGTCATTTTTTATGATGCCTACTTCCTTTTTGAGACCTTTCTTTGTATCACAGAGGTCGAAAGCACCGTCAACTAGAGTCTTAATGATTCCTCTCTTCGTTGGATTCCCGGTTTAGATACTGTCCCGTGTGAGTGGGTTTTCGGTATACAGATGTTTTCCATTTAGTGTCGGTCCTCTTCATCAATACGTCTAAGAATTGCAATTCGTTGTGGACTTCCTTCTTTCTCCATTGTGAAAGTAATGGAAGGACTTACGCTATATGTGCTTCAGGAAGGTGTCTAGTTCTGCATTCCCATGATTTCATGTTATGAAGGTGTCGTCACGTATCTCAACCAGACTTGGGGCTCCTTGTGGGCTTCATCAATGGCCAGAGTTTCAAACCACTCCATATATATGTTGGCTATAACCAGTGAAAGTGGCGAGCCCATTGGCAATCTCTCATCTTGCGTAAAGAATTCGTACTTCAGTTGGAAGTAGCAGTTTCGTACACAGTATCCTAGTAATTCCATGATTACTTGTATCAGTAAGTTTGTTCCTTTTTTTTGTGGAGAAAGAGGCTAGATGGACTGCATATAAAATTTTTCATATCGCCAGTTTCACAAATCATATTAATGTAGAGTACAATAGACTACTGATTCACAGTAGAAGTCACAGCAATCTGGGAATCATCTCTGACATTATGCCTCCTACTGTCAACTACGAACTGCCTTGACAATACAGTATTTTATGTTTCAGGTCAGGTCCCCATCTTCGGATAGCTTCCTCTGTATGATATATTATTTTGCATGGCTTGGAGACTGTACAAGTTGCAGTCAAATGTGCCACCCCACCCGGAGTTACAATAACTGATTCTGCTAAAGATCTATATACCGTCATTAGATTTTTATTGTTGAGGAGATTTCTCTCAAATTATACATTTTGTGAGTAAGCTGGCGGAGTCGCTTTGTAAAATATATGGTATGTTCGTCCCATCTCATATGCTGATCCAGAAATACACCAAGGTATTTAAACTTCAATTTTTTTTATAGAAGGACATTCCTTTGTGAACATTCAGAGGTATGTATTTCTAGAGCAGTATCAATTAGTTGATCGTTTTTGAGAGGCGAGAAACAAACGAATTTGGTTTTATTCAGATTCAAACTGAGGAGATTGCAATTCAGCCATATCTGGATATCCTTCCAGAAAAAATGATCGCCGTGTCGTCTGCATATGAAATAAGATTTCAACCGATTTCGTACAGCCAGTACTATTTATTTAAACTAAAAATAAAATTGGCCCCGCTACTGTGCCTTGTGGAACACCAATTACGATTTCATTGCCAATTTTAACGGTTTGTTTCCTGTGCGATAAATAATTTTGCAAAATGTTTAACGCTGGGCCACGAATGCCGTACCTGTATAGTTTGTTTAGTAGTGCCAATGGAGAAAAAACATTTTCAATGTTGACTTTATGCCGTGTGAATGACTCAATTTATCGAGGATAATTCGGAAAATAGAAACATACTGTAAACACTTTTTGAAAAAGGACCTTGAAGTTCGCACCTGCTTTAGTTGCTGGCCCGCAAAAACATCTCAGGTAGCTCCACATAGATGTGCCTCAGGCGAACATGTTAATCAAAGAGGGCACAATATGAACTATAATAATGTAAACATTTTATCAAAAGAATCTAACCTTACAAAGAGACTTTTTCTTGAAATGTCTTTCATATCACAATCCAGTCATTGCTTAAATAAAAAAACTGATCTAAATCACCTTAGTGAAATTTACTCCTTTTTACTCCAAAATGAAGAAATTTTTCATAATTTCAAAAATTCATCTTTATTATAATATAGTACATGAAATAATTAATCAAATTGGCATTCCTGTATAGGATGAAAGTTTGGCAATACTGAATCCAACAATGTAATTGTTTTTCTGACCTGTCATGTCATTTATTTTTTCTTCTCCATTTTCATTTAAAATTAGTATTATAACCTATTTTGTGATCACATGTACCGGCCTGGTACAAAATCAGAATTTTAGAATTAAAAAAAGGAATTTATTCATTAGATTCACAATAATTTTACCAAATTTGACGTTTATATGTTTAATTGTTTGATGTGTAACTATAATCATTCTTGAATCACTATCCAAACTAATTTCAATGTTTTCCCATTTCTCAAATCTAAGTTCAACATTAAAATCAAATAATAACAAAAATTATTTTAAACATCACTGAGTCCAACCTCAATGACAATGTAAGTACATAATTTTCAACTGTACAATATCAATTAGTCTTATGTTCTATTATTGTAGTTTTCCCTGAGGATGACGGTATACATTGTCGAAATGATTGGAATATATTGTTAAAAGAGTACACTTTCTTAATTGCTGCTTACCCAAATATTTACACGTTATATTCCTGCAGAAACCTGCAGGAATATAACGTGAATAGCATTCTCATGAAGTTTCATCATTGTTATTCATCCCAAAACTGTTGTCCCCAGATTGGCGCCACTTTCCACCTCTCAAGAATATCAATGAAAATTATTTTACATATTTTATTTTACAAGAATTGCTTATTCTTAATCATATTTCTTCAACACATCTATAACTCTTGGATTGAGTAAAATATCCATGTCCTTTCCCCATACCAAATCAATGTGGGTCCATTCTTTGTTTGGTACTTTATACACATCTACAATGTTGGGCAATGATGTAACCAGAATTTCCAGAGTCTGAAATTGTAATATTCTTAGTTCTGTTCTCATATGTAATTGTGTTCTGTTGATCAGCTTTGTTATACAGTATGACACACCTAAGATGAAGACACCCCTATATCACTCATTTTTGAAAGCAGATATTTGACTTCTGGTACCGGCGTATACCTTCATGGGTCGCTCTTTTCGCAATATTTAGCCTGAGTGATAGCCTTAAACACAGCCTGTATCTGTAGAGTAGGGAATGTAGGCCCACAGCACTTAGGCCACATGTGACCTATTGTACATCCTCCCGAGGAGTTTTCCTCCTAGGTCATCGTCTATCCTGTTCTTTCCAGGAAGGTGGACAGGTTAAATCTCCTTTATATAGGCAGATGTAGGCCAAGACCCGCCGAACACACACTCTCTTGTTGACGCTAACTCCGGACGCTCGCATAGGACATGCCTGACAGTTTCATCTTCTTGTTCACACATCCTGCATGGATGTGTGTCCACTAGCTCCATATTATGGAGGTGTTTCCTTAGTTGATAGTGGCCTACTGTTGAGCGTAGGCTTTTCCTGGTCATCGCCAGATATTTTTTCGGCGCCAGCTGCCCAAGGTGATCCTGTCAAGATTGCACCCTTTAATTTCATCCCACCTCCTTAGGGATTGAGCATGGGTGTGAGGTTTGGATAGTTCTGCAATTGTCGAAGTCATCAAGCCGTAGGTGCCCTGGGTCCTAAAATTCTTAGTCCAGCCTCTTCCTTAGCTGAAGAGTCGGCAATGCAATTTTCTTTACTCCTATCATGCCCTTTAACCCACCTCAGGATAATGTTATTATCTACCGAGGCTTTGGCTGAATCTTGGTGGCACTATAGTACTAGCCCTGGGGTAACACGTTGTCAGTTCAAGGCTAATAGGGTTTGTCTGCTATCAGTGCAGATTGTTATGTTTTTGCCAGAAAGTCCTTTCCTGGTTATTTCTTTTGTGGCGATTGAGATACCAGTTAGTTCTGTTTGAACCACGCTGGTATTTTTTCCCATTCCCCACTTAATCCTAGGCTTAGTGATCTGTAATACACTCCATATCCTGAGCCTTCTTTTGTTTTTGAGCCGTCTGTATAAATGCGCATTGGATTTCCAATTGACCCATTTCGTTTTCGAGGTTTACACCAACTGTGCGCAATCGTAACATAGCCACTAACGCAACCTCCTTAACGTTCATGTCCAGAGGGGTCAGACCGTTAAGCCCAGCCTACTGCTTTTCTGCGATAAGAGCAAATTCTCGATATTTTGCTTCGGGTTGTAGATACCGAACTAAGTTATTTAAAAAAGTTGTTCAGAAATCGATTTTGACCACACATTCAATCATTATTTGAACAGTCCACGAATATTACCCTTCTTCCTGGTATCATATAAATTATGATCTGACTCACTTCTTATTAAATTCGATTCTTTTTTATGTATACAGGGTGTTTCCTAACTACGGTACATAACTTCAGAAGGTGATTCTTTAGATCGTTTTAAGAAAACAATCCTATGAACATATGTCCGAAGTTGCTACGTTTCTGAGATACAGGGCGTTGAAGTTATAAAATATCATAAATATCCTTACACTGATTTGGTTGAAATTCGCTACAATTATTTGAAGTATTGAGGCGCTTATTCAGCACTAACTAGATTGAAGTTGTTGGGTCCACTGAAGTCTCAGTATTGGGAAAATACAATATTGGGAAAAAAAGGACCACAACTATTTCGTCGCTTGTATTTTCTTCATATCTAGCTGCGGTTTCAAGAAAAAATAATATAAAGCCATGCATATCACGAACTCCTGTGACAGTGATAGTGTTGTCATATCAGTGAAAGTCAGAGTTGTCAATTAGTAGTGATTCCATTATAAATAATTTTACTAACGCTGAAATGGCTGACATGCACTTTATACGGGCTGTTTGTTAAACATGTGGCAAAAAATTAAGGGACTATTCCTTGGACTATTCTAAGGATATTTTGTCCATTCATGATTTTTGATATGGCGCTTTGTTTCGAAGATACGGCGCGAAGAGACATTTCGACAACAACAATTTTGGTAATTTTAAAATTATTAACGTAGCCGAAATAAAAGTATAGCGTACCACACTGGACCTACCTCGTAATAAAAATTCTAAAAATTCTGATGGTACCGATCAACAACATTCCGATTACTACAAACGGCTGCAGACATTCAATTTGCTGGGTGTTACGCAATCAGAAACGATCCTGGAGTTTTTGAAAGAGTTCAGGAATCGATTTGGAGAAGATTGAATTCTTGCATACGAACGGGGGATAGTTATTTTCAACAGTTCTTGTAGATTAAAAAACATTACATGTTATTTTTGGTAATAAAATAAAATATTTTTCGTTATCGCCGATCTGTGAAATAAAGCGTTCTATCTAGACAAAATATCCTTAGAATGGTCCAAGGAATAGTCTCTTGAATGTTTGCCGCATGTTTAATAAATACCCTGTGTATGGATTAGCAAATGGCAATGCGTAACTAGCAAGAAGAATTTACCAGGGCAGATATCTCAACAGAGTAATTCCTTGTGAGAAACATTCAGGAAGCTAAATGCAAGATTATGTGAAACTGGGGGTTTCAATAAAAATGCATGTGGTGAAAGACCAGAAACTGTAACAACGCCTGAACTAGAAAGGCAATACGTGATGCAATAGAAGATGATCCTTCAAATAATACCAGAAAGATTGCAGTGCAGCTGGAAGTCAGCCCCAAAACCGTATTGACAGTTCTAAACGGAAACCTCCTATACTCATATAATATACAGAGCGGGCCAAGCTCTACGGCCTCGGGATTTTCACCTAAGATTAACGTTTTGCAGGTAGTTGATTCATACGATGGCACACAATAATAATTCAAATACCTAAGTATCTTACTTAAGACGAAGCAAATTATTCACGAGAAGTAACCATAAAATTATCATCATTTTCATTAAACAATATTTTATGTTTTTGTTTTTATTTCCCTTAACGTCCCAATTTTGCACCCCACCGTCCCCTATGTATCTTATTTACGGCGAAGCAAATTCTTCACGAGATAAACTTTCACAATGACCATTTTTGGGCCGACGAAAAAAACAGCAAAAAAGTCAGTGTAGTTTTTCTTCTCAATATTGTTGGCTGTGGTGCCACTGGACCCAATAATGTCAAATATGGAAAATTATCATGAGATAGTTCAAATTCATTCAAGCGAATATATGAATTGAAAGATGTTCCAACCTCAACTTCAATATTCTAAAACAAAAACGCTCAGTATTCAGAATTCCATCTTTTAATATTTCAAGTTCATAGACATCGAAATTGATGCAGGGAATGATTGGTTAGTTTCATTCAGGAATTTGAATACGCAGTAATCAAATCAATATGTATGTGATTGAATATTGAGTATTTACTAACCTCTTTGGATACAAAAAGATCATTTTCTACGTAGACCAGAGCTACTGGAAATGTAGCTCGAGTTATGTTATATGAAGGTGGTTTTTCCAGACCGTATTTCTTCAGATTTTCTTTTTTCCCAAAATCAAACTGTTCGAATCTTCCTGAAAAGAACAGTTATTGTTATTACGTATCACACAAATGTGGAATCACATCAATGACACTATCCGATTATCTTTAAGAGAAACATTTACCACAACTGAACAAGAAATTTCACTAAACTTGGTCAAAGTATACTGACATTTGTATCCTTCGGATTAATTACGCGACTAACATTTTTAGAACACAAAGTTCTTTGGTCTTTCAGATAATGTGACACATAAAAACAAGAAACTTCAAACAAAAATTGAAATTTTGAAAACGATTCTAAAAGATATGTTTATCATTCGCGGTTTTTTTGAGACACAAATCAAAAAAAATCAATGAAATTTTGGTTTGAAGTTACGACAGTTGGTTGTGACATGGTTTGTGAGATGGTTTGTGAGATGCGAAAAACTTTCATATGCAAACACCGTAGATTCAACACAAAAAAATTAGGTTTACCTACAAATGAATGATTTCTTTGGAATAATTTGATCCGTTACTTGATAAGGCGCTAATAACACTTTATACAATATTCATTATAAATACTGTAACAAATAGAAGAATTAACTGTCCTAAACAAATTTATTTCTGACAATATTTCACTATCACAAACTAATTTACATTCAAAACTCAGCCAGTAACGCTTAATCTATTTCCACTATTCAAATTCCTTGTTTAACCGCTCGATTCACTTTCTAAATTCAACTGCCCTCTCTGGATGAGAAGCCGGCCTTTCATATCGGTAAAAGTCCATCGTAGAATTCTGTAGTCTGTTCGGTACTGACCTAGAATTTTCGCGGCGGTTTTAGACTTCATTCTTTCGCGGTGACGTCATTTGTTTGTTCACTGGCCAGCATATCGGTCAGGGGCGGTTTCAGATTCGTTAAAAACGTTCGCTATATACTGTATCTTCATTAGTTACATCATAGATACATAAAATTATTCTACAATGTGGATACAAAATAATTATAGTCTATTTCAAAAGAGTGTAGAGTAATAAATCATGAAGTGTCATAAAATTTGCCTAAATTTCCTTGTCGTCCATGGGCGTAGGCAAATCTTAGGATTATTAAACTTAATAATTAAAGTAAATTAAAAATTACAGACATAGATAATAATAAAAGGCCATTTTTGGGAAGTAATTTGGTCTAAAACTAAGTACCTACATGTATTTAGGTAAGTAAAATTTCTTAAAAAAAGATTAAGATTAATTTTAGTGGTTCTTGTAAACTTATTTAATATGCAATTTGGGTTCATATACTTGAGCATGATTTCTCAAAAAAGGGTTAACACTTAGTTCCGAGGTGCCATGTCATTATAATAATCCCTTTTTGACCCTGCCCACCAATCATGCAATACCTATTAAACCCAGGTAATTAAGAAAAAGGGTTTAAATATATTGTAATGGTGTCTTAAACATTNTGCATATTCTTTTGGCAATTATCCCACTAGCGCGCCTCTGGCTCAGTATTTATCCGTCGATAACAATGGACAAATCCCTTAAAACAGGGTGATACCTACCTGCTCTTTATGAAACGACATAATTTTGCAATGCGGACTAGGGAAGTGACAGAATTTATTGACGGATCACCCTGTAGCGCTTTTGAATACTTAATGAGATTTTATTACTCTACACTCTTTTGAAATAGACTATAGTTTAAATTGAAAGGGTATAATTTTGGGAGACATTAATTTTTGGGAAAGAAAGTTTTTGGCCTCCTACTTCTCCATTTCAACCAATTTCAAAAATTAACTATATACAAAGATGTGAGATCATGCAAATAAGTAACTTTCAGACACAAACTGGAAGAAAGTCTTCTCGAAACAGCTATTTTCATACAAACATTGAAGTATACGAAAGACGAATACTTTCGAAACAAATACTTTTATGTAAACGCTAAATTATACGAAAAATGCTTTTCTCTATTCCGTTTGCATCCCAAACATTCGTAATAGAATCTAATCAGATATCATTCACAGGATTCCTACACAATATAATGAATGAAAGAAGTGAAATTTCACTTACATGAAACATTATCATCCTCACTGCTACCTGCCATACATTTGATGTTTAGCCGTAAGACACTTGCCTTATCGGCTCTTCAGTAGCAAATACGGATAACAATATAAGAAAAAAACACCTTATTCGTTCATAATTACGACTTTTTCTCACGGAATGGATTGAATCCACCCATGTCATCGATGATAGTACGCAAATAACATTCATTCGCTTATTGGATTATATACCAGCCATAGGAATCTTGTTTAAATTGAAACGGTATATTTTTAGGAGAGAATAATTTTTGGAAAAGAAATTTTTTGGCCTTCTACTTCTCCATTTTGATATAAAAAATAAAGGAAGGAAGCAATCAATTTAAAAAATTAACTTTATACAAAGATGTGTGGATGGAAGATTCCCACATGTTTTGTATCAAGATGGAAAAGTAGAAAGACAAAAACGTTTTTTACCATTACAATTAGATACATGATTTCTTGGACACCGATAAGTCACCCAGACACTACCCAAATGCAAAAACCCACCATACTGTATGGTTGTCAGCGGCTGGTGTGATTAACTGCAATCCGGCCAGTTGAATCAATTATTCACTGAGATATTACAGTTTGAAGCAGACTCATTAAAACGGACAAAACTTTCGGAAGAACCAATATTTGTATAGGGTCATACCAAAGTTAACATTTTTTTCTTTGAATTTATGAACATTCTAGTTCGAAAGTTCACGTTATTATGAAATATATTTGTTGAAATGGTCTCAAAATCAACCTAAATCAACATGTTATTGAGAAAGCGAGTGACTCTGCTTACAGTTCAGTTTTATAAACAAGAAAACAACTCAGTTGAATGAAAAATGTGTTATTGTCTTATAATTGTGTTGAAAGTGATATTTTAAAACCGTTACTTTGGAAACTGTCCACAGGCATATCAGTATCATTCATGTGATTCCACATCTTCTCAGTTTTGTATTGTCAATTATCATGAAATTTACCACGTTTGATGTTCTGTGCGTAATGAACCATCTGATTTGTCGACATTCCAGCTGGTGCCGTCAAAGCTACCAATGGGACGACTTTCTGTAAAAAAAAATCAAAGAGCAACCCTACAACATTCCTCACAAAAATCAATTGAAATTATTAAGCAGTTGATTTCAGCTGAATTAGAAACTATAGAAAAAGTGCCTTGAGGCATAATTCGAGACACTGGGAAGGTTAAGTCCAAAGTGAGTGGGTCTGTTCGACTATTCACAGCAACCCGCAAGGGTTTATTATGGCTCACACCTATTCACACTTGACTAAACAAATCCAGCTTCTTAACGAAGCGTTTAGTTTGTATGGTGAGTGGTATGGGGCAGGCACAAAGTATTTGCTCTGCTGTTTCATCATTTTCCAAACAGAGGCGACACACACTGTCTTCCGACAGTTCAAGTCTCTGTATATGATGATTCAAACGACAGTGACCTGTAAGAAGACCTGTTAGACATTGCAGTTCATCCCTACTGTAGTCCAACTGTTTGGTATCAAGCTTCGAAAGGCGAATAAACGCCTTGGAGTGAGTCAGTCCTGGAAGATTCTGCCAGAAGTCTATGAATCTTCTTGCCATCCAGGTATTCAATCATTGTTTGGCTGGTGCTTGCAGCAGCCTCATTGCTTTCCAGGCCAGTATGGTCAGGAATCCAAACCAGAAACAATCTGTTAAGTCTTTCTATCGAGGAGAGTCGTTTTTGGCAGTTTGTTATCAATTTAGACGTTGCTCGGTAGGAGCCAAAAGCTACCAACGCCGCTTGACTGTCCGAGAATATTTCTATTGACTTGTGTATGAGATTGGAATCTTCCAATCTCTCCGCACACAATTCAGTAGCTTAAATTTTTGCATGAAATACACTCTCATAAGTTCCTAGGAAGGTAGATATCTCTGATCTGGGTCTGCGAATGAAAACACCTGCAAGTGACACTGACTGCAGTTCAATTAGTTACTGAATGTTCTAGAAAATTCTTACCGTATCGAATTGGTTGTGTTCGATTCCTCCAAGTATGAACATTACGTATTTGCAAACAAAAACTGGACTGAATTTATGGCCACAGATACCATAAAAAATTTTGTGTGATGTACTCATTGAGATAAGCGGGGGTAGCTTATAAACTCTGAGAATTTTGGCAAGTAACTGAAAAAAATCTTATATTAAAATCAAATCATTAGGGAATATTTCATCTATGAATTTTTTGAATATCCACCAACATCTTCAGTAACAGCCAGTTCAAATCTTTGACAGTTGTATCTTTATTTATATCAAGACACTCAATAAACTTTAAACGTTGTTTTGCCACATAAATCATTTCTATCAGAACAATAACACTCACAAATAATATAAATCCCTCAATGCTATAGTGTGTGCAATATTTTTCGTTAGTCCATGTTCAGCTAACACAAATAAACTGAATGGTTTGCCCACTCGAGAGCATGCCACATATAATTGTCCGTGTTCAAATCCAAGCCACAGAGGACATTGTTTGGCCTTGGTACTAATTAATAGTTATTGCAAATGTCAAGCTAATTGGAAATTGCACACGTTTTAAATGAATTGGCACATCTGTAGGAATCTGTAGGATTCGACAATGTTTTTCATGAATTTTTTAATGACTAGTCGTGTTCTGTTGCTCAGCCGTGGTGGATTCAAATTAAGGAGCTATCCAACCTTTAGTTGTAAACTATGCGGTGGTATGCCTGGCAAATCCAATGAGTTCAAAACCTTTGTTGGATAATTCACAGCTTCAGTGGCTTGTAAACTGTATCTAAACTCGATGGATAAACAACAATAGTGGCTGAAAACGTATAGGTAGTGAGAGAAGGGTTATTGTGTGGGAGAGACAGGAAACCGGCCTCGTTCTCATCCCTACTCCGTGCTGTTTACTGAGTGAAAAGTGACACCGGTAGACGCCTGGCGGGAATAACTGATCAGGGTTAAAGATGATTAAATTACTAAAATGGCTATTGAAAATAGGGGTCAGTGATAGAAAAATATTGAGGGTTATATTGTAACAAAATAAAGAATTAACTGTCTTAAACAAATTTAAACAAAACAGCAACCAATACTTAATTTATCTTCACCGTTCCAGTTCTATGTTTAACCGCTCGATTCGCTTTCTGACTCTCTCTCTGAACAAGGCGCCGACTTTTTATATCGGTAACGATCGTTCTAGATTCCTCTAGTGGTTTCGGTACTCATCTATACTTTTCGCGGCAGTTCGCAGTGAGTCATGTGTTTGCTGGCTGATATATCGGTCAGGACCGGCTTCAGATTCGTTACAATATGTAATTTTTTAATGCCACATCATAAAAAATAAAAAAAAAATTGACAAAAAAAATGTTTAGGGGGGAACACCCTTAGCACTTAGGAGTTTGAAGAATAGATTAATATAAATTCTCAAACCTACCGAATATGCATGAAAATCGGTTAAGTTCATACTATAATAAATCACCCACCTGACTTATAATGTAAAATACAATTACTTGTCTTTTCTTAATCTATCACTTCAATCTATCACCAATTACTTGGTAGTTATTCATTTATGGAATGAAGAATGTTTTTTCAGTTTCAAATGAATAAAAAAATTCCCAGCGCCGCATTACCTGAAAGTATTCATAGAAAGGTAGTAATAATCTAATCAATGGATGTTTCGGTTTGATTATTACTGCAGCTGGTCCCAATGCGATCATCACCTTTATTTTATCATTATATCTCACTCGCTCTGAACCCATCGCAAATAAAGTCGTAGTTCCTTGACTTAAACCAATGTAGTGTAAACTTTTTCGATTTGTCTTGTCCAAGATGTAGTCTATTGTAGCAGGTATATCAAAAACTGCGATTTCATGCCACCTGTGAAGTGAATTGGATGTTGGATCAAATACTCGCTCATCCATTTAATTGATAAATGTTTCCACATTTGTAAATCGTTTTTATACATATAAAATGGTAAATAAATTACAGCAATCACAAAAGGAATGTCCTTGAAAAGGTGTAGCAGGAAACCTTTTTTTTCATTTTAGACAATTTGGCTTATTATCACATTATCTTTGCGTGGCCGAGGGCGAAAGTATAGCGGGGATTTCGGGATTTACTAAAGCGCGGCAGATTATTATACAGGGGGATACCTTGTACCCGGTTAAGTACCTCCACCAAATATGAGCCCCATATATAAGGCCGCCTGTGAGGGATAAAGGATCAGATTAGTAAAAAAAAATTGATCAACAGAAATTCTCGAGTGCGTCAGATTAAGGTAGGGTGAGTTAATTACCTGCTAAAAAGTGTATATTCCAGTAATCTGACAATTTGAGAGTGACGTGAAGAAAGGGGAGGGCAGCAAAGTTGTAAAAAAATAACGTCATTTCGACATTCTTGAGCGTAGCTATTTTTTTTCATTTTGAAGAAAATAATTCAAGGATAACGAAAAATATATAATCTGACGATTTCCGCAAGCCGAAATAAAAAAAATTCGTCGATAAGTTTAATGCGTGCAGCTGTATGATACCTATATTTCCCTCTCCGAGTTTCCATTCCTCTATTCTCTATTCATTTCTTCTCTATCTATTACTCTCTCACTCCGTCCCCACTCTGAATTCTGTTGCCATGACGCCATCACAGCTGATCACAGAGACATAAGAACATTTTCAAACTCATACGATATATAAGGATATTTTCAAACATATACAATATATAAGTTTGAAAATGTCCTTATACTTAGGACGAAACTGCAGTAACGTTAGTTACAAATTAACGTGGTAAAAAACATAGAAAGTTTCATTTCTCATTTCTTCATTAATTGATCAATTGATTATAAAATATTAATTTTTTTCGAGCATTTGTTTAACATTATTTTCTTATACATACAATTATTCTACTTGAAAACATACACTTATTTATTTGCATGCTATTTCCTGAGCTTTTCAATTGATTAAGTTCAATAAATTGAAAAAAAATATTGTTTTTGTCAGATTAAGCGAATCCCTCTAGATAATCGTCAGATTATGAGACAGCACGTCTAAAACATAAAGATGAACGATATATATCCTAATCTGACGCGCTTGAGTATTTCAAAATGGCGAATTTTTTTAGCACATTATAATAATGGCCGCGAGTTTGCGTCAGATCGAAATCGTAAGATTATTGAATGGGAGCTTTTTTTTTGTTGCACTTAACACCTCCTTAGAAAATCTAACGCGCTTGATCATTTTTTTTTCTTTTCACTTACATACAACCACTCACATCATACAAATGATCAGATTAACATACCAACATTATTAAAAATACGTAGGACATTGATGCTATCAATATCTGACGCACTCGAGTATGTCCATCCAACAGTATTTTTTTACATATTTGAAAATCTATAGCCGCTTCCCCCACCGATGAAAAGTATATATTATATAACATTTTTTTCTTCTTATCATCTAAGCTTTGCAACCTAATATGTCTCAATGACGCTCGAGTAAATCCCCATTTTACATCGTGGGCTCCCCTGCTATAAGTGTGGTCTGGAAGTTTTAAATCAGTTCTGTAGAAGTGTTATCTTGCAACAGTTTACAAAAAGTGTACTTGTCTTATGTCAAGGTGACCTGTTTTTGTATATAGTTTTTCATTTGAGAAAATGATTACAGGTACTGAGAGACAATTAGATACTTTCCATAGGGATATTAACAAAATTCATGAAAACATTAAATTCACTATTGAAGTAGAAGCAGACAACTCAATCAATTAGTAGAATGAACAACAAACATGATTTTTCAATTTATCACAAACCGTTCTATACGGATATTCCTATACATTACGATTCTACCCATCCATATCAACACAAAGTAGCAGCTTATAATAGCATGATTGATAGATTAGTCAATGTTTTTCTTTCAATAGATAATTTCAATAAAGAACTTAATATCATCAAGCAAATTGCGATTAAAAATGGATTTAAAGCCGAATTAATAAACAAAATAATTTCCAAAAAAGTCTATGCAAAAGCGATTCGAGACGTTTTTCCTATTGATAAGTTAGATAATCAAATTCAAAATTATAGGGCTTCAACATATTTTGGACAAACAGTGGCTTCATTTGTGAGGAAACGAAATATTAAAATTGCATATACATAGAACAAATAATACGTTGGGAAAGTTAGTTAAAAATAATAAAGATAAAACATCCAAATTCGAGAAATCAGGAGTATATAAATCATAGTGCGGAACGTGTCCTGAGGTATATACCTATTGGTCAAACTGGCAGAATATTCAGAAATCGAATTCAGGAACATCATAGGAGCTATGTAAATAAGAAAACAAGTTCAACATATTCAAATTATCTTTCAGAAGAAAATCTTTTACACATAGAAAATAAATGTTTGAAACTGTATCAGAAATAATTTGTAGTATTCAAATCACTAGTGAAGAAGCTACTGTGTTTACGAAACATGTCGTGATATATTTTTCAAATAAAGTTCGTGGAGATCAAATCGTGAGGTGTAGTTTATGAAATTACTATGGATCTTCATCAAGCTAAAAAAAATTGACCAGACGGCTTTGTGTTCTTTCTAAGAGGTTTATATATTTATCAGTGGCGGGGTCCCATGCTATTATTCCAATACGTAAGTGGCTTTCAACAAGCGCATAATACAAGATTCTCGTTTGCTGTTGATCTAGTATTTTATTCAGATCCTTGCATTTGTGTAGTGGGAATCGAAGTTTTATTGCAAGTTCATTGATTTGTGTGTCCCATTCCAACTTGTTATCAAGGAAAATACCAAGATATTTCATATGCGTTTTTTCTGATATTTCGAAAGATGTATTTTGATTCATAATATTCAGCGTCTTGTGGGCTGGCAGATACCTAGAATAGGACGAAGTATGTCTTGCTGAACGTAACAGTGAAGAGACAGTTACTCAGGTAACCAATTTATTATTTTTACACGCTTTATATTAGCTTCACCTGTATATATGTATGTATATTTGTTTGTTTGTTTGCAACTGTCAAGCTCGGGTTCTGTATTTGACAGAATTATCGACATTATTCCTTGACCTATTCGTAGGCAGATGGCGCTATACGTAACCTCTTCGATATAATTCGAACTTACTTTACATATATTTCTTCATTTGAAAAAAATATTCTTTGTAACCCTCCTTCGCGCCTGCTTCCTTGGGCTTGGTAGCTGACTTTCAGGCTATCACGCTATATATTAGCTTCACCTATATGTACGTAAATATGCTTGTTCATTTTTGATAATAATAATAATTATTTTCCTTTTGATATCTAGAATGTATAGAAATAGTCATTAACAAAATACAATAAAATAAAGTGGTTACAAAACGAAACAAAATACCACAAAAACTGGGTGTCACGATGAAAGTGCACGAAAATACGTTAAACAAGCACAAGTTAAGTTTATTTGAAATACTCATCTAGTGAGTGGAAACATTTCTCCAATAGGAAGTCATTTAAAGCTTTTTTGAAGTAAATAATGTTTTTGTTGCTTTTATAATTTCAGGAAGGTGGTTCTATATTCTAGGTCCAATACAATTAGGAGAATTTAAAGTAATATTGAGTCTCGCATATGGAACGTGAATATCATTTTTTTGCCTTGTGTTTAATGTATGAATGTTGGAATTTTTATAAAATTTGTCAATATTCATAAATATATAGACGCATACTTCAAGAATATATAAGCTTGCTAGAAGTAACATTTTATAAGAAGGGAAAATATTTCTACATGATTGATCATAGGAAACTCCTGCCATTAGTCTCAAAATTTTTTTTTGGCTAATGAAAACATCCCGCGCATGGATAGTATTACCTCACAGACACAACCCATACCTCAGTCGTGAATTTACTTGAGCGTGTAAGAAAGTTATCAACTGATTTTGTTCCACTACCTGTTTCAAATTCCTAAAAAGAAATGTAATGCTACCTAACTTTGACACTAACTGTTCACAAATAGATTTCCAGCTAAGAAATTCATCAACATATACACCTAAAAATTTCACGGTTTCTGCAGTACTGCCCTTCGGTTCATTATCAGATGTAAAAGTGAGTTTTTGCTGAAACGTTTTTTGCGTAGTATGAAACCTTACGATTTTTGTTTTCGACTGGTTGAAATGTAAGTCATTACCATTATAGTAGCCAATTTACTTTTCCATATATACATTGCATTTTTCTTCAAGGCGGTCATCATCAAAATCTGATAGAATTAACGTAAAATCGTCAGCGTATGTCGTGAACATTTCATTCCCTAAAACATTCTCTATATTATTAACGTAGAGAATGAAGAGGTTCAGACCTAAAATTGATCCCTGATTTGTAACTCTCAAGCTCGGGTTTTGTATTTGACAGAATTATCGACATTATTGCTTGACCTATTCGCTGGCAGATAGCGCTATACGTAACCACATTGATATATCGACATTGCATGTATTTCTTCATTTGAAAAAAGTATATTTTTGTAACCCTCCTACGCGCGCCTGCTGCCTTGAGCTTGGTAGCTGATATTCAGGCTCTCTCTCCGGAATCGGAAAATATCAATGCTCATTTTTCTAAACAATATACGGCTGATTGGTCCCAAAGCTTATATGAAATAAATATAGTTTAAAAAACTGAAAAACAGGCTTTTAAAGAACATCGAACTAAAAAGTTTAAAACATTTTTTTAAATAAGCTAAAAACAATAGCAAACGAAAAATACTAGTATTATTGTGAAAAAAGCGTATGCGCTTTGTACCATATTTTTTGTATATCAAACGCCCGTCGCTTTTTTCACAATAATACTAGTATTTTTCGTTCGTTATTGTTTTAAGCCTATTTGAAAAAAAATATCTTATTTGTTCGATGTTCTTTAAAAGTATA